TTTATTCAAAAATAATTGTAATTGCAGTACTGTATTAAAGACTGAATTGTTACAATTTTACAAATTCAAAAAAAGAGACATTAAAAAAGGCAAGAGACAAACTTGGAACAGACATTAAAACCATCAGGGACTTAAAATTAAAAAAAATATTTTTAAAATCTATACACGACAACAAATACATAAACAGATGAGACATGCAAAATGGTGTATAAAACACCAACTAGCTATATTATTAATGACGATACATTACCTAAAATTGATAAAATCTAAATAAAAAAAATTTTTTCCCCCTTCATTCCCCTTTCTTTCCCTTTCCTTCTTCTTAGGCCCTTCTCTCATTCCAAAGTCTGGTCATATATTGCAATGGGCTATTAAAATATCTTTTGGTCCTATGTCTACGGAGAGACAGTTGATTGGTAAGTTTCCTACCATGGCACTCAAATCTGGTTTTAGGGATCCAATTTTTAAAATTAACCATTAGTGAGTTGTAAAAGTCCAGGCAAATTTTCTCTCTGCGTTCTTTATATGTGGCTAATCCACACAGAGTGCGTGCGTTATCATAGTTATGATAACGGTGTCCTAACATAATTTTACAGGCTCCCTTCTGGATTCTCTCCAGATTCTTGGTTTCATTATCAGTGAGTTGTGAGTGCCAGGCCGGTGCAGCATATTCAGTGAGGGGTCTTATAAAGCCATTAAAGATAGTGATCAAATCATGCAAAGGGAGATTGAAGTGTTTTAACATTTTCCACATATATAGTCTACCATTAGCTTTAGATATAATATTTGTCGTATGTACTCTCCATTTAAGATCAGAGGGGAGTTGAATGCCTAATATTCTTACTGAATCTACTACCTTAAGCGGAGTGCTACAAATAGTCAAGGGGGGGGGGTCATCAACTTGGTTTTTAGAGAAGCAAATTTTCATGGTGGCACATTTACTTGGGTTGAGGTTCATGTTTTTTTTCTTACTCCATTTACCAAAGGTATCTAGATCTTCTTGTATACGACTAGGTTGATTGGGCAACTTACTTTCAACAAGTGTGATGTCATCAACATATTTAAAAGTATGGATGGAATCACTTAGTGCTTCATTAATCATTACTAAGAAGCATAGAGGTCCTAGTTTAGTACCTTGTGGGATGCCACCATTGGTGATTTCCCAATCGCTACTAGTACCCTGATATTTGACACATTGTGTTCTGTCTCGTAAGAAGCATGAAATCCATGAGATAACTGAGGGGCGGACATGTATGTCAATTAGTTTGTTTATGAATACATTGTGATTAATATGATCAAAGGCTTTGCTGAAGTCTGTAACCACTAGAGTGCTAGAATTACTTACTTTATCTGAGTTCCTATAAAGTTCATTAGACTACGGATACATAGGGTATACGTGCAGATCTAACCCCCAGGCACTTTCTTTCATAAAACTCTCTTCTTTCACTGAAACCCTTACACATAGTAAAGCTACAACAATAATTAAGCTAAATATAAGCCTACACAAGTGATGTTTGGTGCTTCTTATCGAGCTACTCAATAGTACGTGTAAGTAGGAGGGACGCTGTATCAGATATTAATGTAAATCATTTAAAAAAAAAAAACAAATACGGCACAATTAGGAAAAGGCAAACGATTTATAAAATGAAACTCGGAAATGGTATGTAATTTGACACAAATTTATTGTAAATTTTAGCGAGTACTTTCGGTTATACATCCCTCATTAAGCTTTAACAGATGACCTAAGCAAGAGAATAATAATGGCAAGTCTGTAATCAATCTCTATTCACCCTTAACCTTAATTGTTTTTAAAAAAGAGGAAAAGTGTGAAAACAAGTTTCCTCAATTGGGACTTGTCCTTGGGATCTTCTGCTGTCTATGCAAGAACTTTTTCGTTGATGATAAGCTATGCCCGATATCATTTTTCATCAAAGTTCCTTTATTTGAGCACTGTTTCAACCATTTGATTATACCTCAGTGCTACGCAAAATAAATATATGTATGCATATTGATCATATGATTATAATAATTAAGATTAAAAATGTACATACGTTTAATAAGTTATGCCGTAGCCTATATTATTTCTTACTTTATAGTAATAATAATAATTCTTTATTGGTCCTTATTCAATTGGAAATCGGAAATTTTGGCTGGGTCTCTGGGGACCCATCACAGCCGCAGTGCAGCGCCAACTGATTCAACTACAACATATAACGGACACATACGGATGTAAACTTTGTCCTTAACCTGCCGAACTCTCAATGTGAGGGTTATTCGAGGAGCCAAGCAATCAGAATCCAATTAAAACCTGACGCTGGCCAGGTTTGAACCGAGGTCTTCAACACAAGAAGCAAGAACAATACCTTTTCCACTCAGCTCACATATATTATAATTATTATAAGTTTCATTTTTTTAAAGTATAAATTTGACTGTCAGAAAAATGAAGCCCATCTTGATAAAAGGCCCATCCCAGGGTCTTGAAATATAAGGTCATATAATAGCTTCTTTTCTTTTTCTTTTTTAAAGCAGTAATTGTTACGTACTGGTATGGGATTTCAAGTGAAATTTAAAAATACTAGCAAATTTTGTTCACATAATTTTAAGATATTGTGTTGCTAAGATAAGGAAAAGAAAGTAGATCCAGGTTGCCGGACGTATCGTAATTGAATAAGCCATCTATGGTGGAATCAGCGAGTATAAACATTTTCACTCAGTCATTATTCTCAAATCTTGTGAAGTGCAGTACAATAATATTAATTAATTAATTTGCCATCATAAATTTAAGATGGATACGTCTGATGTATATCACAATTTGAAAGCTACGGGTTCAACTTGAATAATAGGTTGTTGGTTTATGAATCATTAATTCAACTTTAACCAGAAACTACCTAGCAATAAAGATGTCAACTCGATAAGTTGGTGATTCATTCAAGTGTGTTTCGTGAATGTTTTCACAATTAACAGTCGTTCCTTTTTATTCTAAGCTTAGATTACTACAGAACATACGCAAATATTGGAGAAAAAACACCAAAAGTATGCAATATGCAAAGAGTATTTGGATACTGTGCATCGGACTGGAATTGATAATCATACAAACAACGTTGGCTGGTAAGTGAACACATTAAAATAGTGCGTTTTTTTTTTTTTTTTCCTGCAAACATTAAAAATGTAAAAATATTCATTGATTAAGAAAATTTCCCAGGAATCTCGGGAAATAGACAGTTTTGAAAAAATAGACATGCTCCTGTCCTTTACCTCTTTACTCTGTCTAATGTAAAGTACATTTTATTATAGACGTTACATGTCAACATTTGGAAAACAAATTTATTGAGTATGTGTTTTAATTACAAATGTTGCTTCAGTAGAATTATGCTCTATTAACGTATAAAACCATGTGATTACGTTGTTGAGCCTATAGTATAACGTAAGAGTAACATTAATGGTATTTAAGGTGTATCTGCTCTATGTCCTCCACAGTCACCAGCGGATCTAAGAATTTGAAATAGAAGGGATTCAGGGTAGTAGGACTTTCACAGATAGGGGGTCAAGCCGTGGCACCTCTAGAGGATCGGAGTCGGCACTCTCAGACTTATTTTTTTTTCTTCATTTATTTTATAATGTTGAAAAAAAGCGGTGGGTCGGGGAGCCCGGCCCCCTGAATCCGCCACTGGTCACACAGGAGTACTTCGAGCAGAGTAGTAGCTGCCACGTTGAAAAAGCACTTGCGGCTAATGGCCAAGTTGTTCTATTGGATTTTCTCATTAGGGAACGTTATCTATAACTCGTTATTATATACACGTTATTGACAGATAAATCAGAAATATAATTAAATTAGCTGGTAGTTTTGTGAAAATCACATTGTGTTCATAAGAATTATACCAATATAAAGCTATTACCGGTATAGGACAATATCAATTTAGTATCTCCCTAGAATTAAAAAAAATAAATAAATAAATAAAAACAACATATATTTCTTTTTATTTTCTCCGTTAGAACGGCTATTATTATAGGTCTATTTTTAACCATTGGTATATGTATAGTAGTTTTCCATGCACTATTAAAAGTTTGGTATACAATGAAGAAAAATATATCATCAACAAGTTGCCTGAAGTTCGCAAGGCAAAAAACTAATGGCACTTTAGTTTACTAGTTGTTTTTTTTTTTCAAATTGTTATTGATATTATGTACCGTACTGTACTATTATTTTTTCATCATTGTTATTTTAATATACTGTTATTGTTGTTATATGATTATTATTATCACTATACTTATAATAATGTTAAGCGTTTTTAAAATTATTTCTACTAAACGTTGTTAGTTATGTGCAATCTGGTAGCCATTGTCAGGTTTCTACCATTGTTCTTTGGACCATGACATAACAAACCATTCAAAATTTAATAAATTTTTTCTTGGAACAATCTAGACAATTTTATGAAGATCCATGAATCAGTTTTTGAGATATTTAGGCTACGTCTAGGGCCTTAGCATTTTGAATGACCCTCCGCCCCAAACTCACACCCGAATCTGGATCGTCACCAAAGTTTGATAATGTTTTCCTTGTAACTTGGTTAACACTTACAGAAAGTTTCGGTACAGATCAGTAGATCAGTTTTTGAGATATCTGGTGTAGGGTGTTTTTGTTTAATGGGCCTAACATCCACAGCACACTCCGGATCATCACTGAAAAACAAAAACAAAACATTCAATGTTAGAAATCTTCTGTGAAAATCTGACTCATGTAGACCTAAAACTGTAGGCAGGAGGCTGCTAAAACACAAACACACAAAGAAAATCTGATGAAAATATAACCTCCTTGCAGAAGTATGGTAATAAAAAAAGAATCATCGAACACTGGTTCTTTATTATTATTATTATTATTATTATTATTATTATTATTATTATTATTATTATTATTATTATTATTATTATTATTATTTTTATTATTATTATTATTATTATTATTATTATTATTATTATTATTATTACTGTATTACTATTATTAATTTATTATTAGGCCCTATAACCTCCTTGCAGGGGTAATGCAATAAAAGAATCACCGAAATATGGTACTTTATTATTATTATTATTATTATTATTACTACTACTGCTACTTTACTACATTTTTAAATCAGACTACTAGGCTACTGTACAAGGTCCTCTTCCCCACTCTCTTTTCTTCTTTCGTAGTTTTTAATAAATTAATATCAAACTATAAAATATGTTATCTTGTTATATATTCATCCATCCAATTTTTGTCAGTAAGTGACTATTATGCTGAAAGTACAGTAGGCCTATATGATAATATTCCCAAGAGGTCAATGGTCAGTGGCAAATTCCTGTTACTTATACCCTGCCCCTGCTTTCTTTTTTCCATACGCGTACGTGGAATCGAAGCTGTTCAGGTCAATCAAGGTTCAATATGAGTTCAATTAGATCTAGAAAAGTATAGTAGGTTATGCGGTTCTTGAGGAAAAACACCGTATGCCTCGGACGTATATTTCCCCTACAAGGATTAAAATTATTCGATACTTTCTACAAAAATATATCTTATATTTCTGTTGTTCATATATTAAATCTAATATCAACTTATTTTGTTTTGGACCATTAATGCCGCTACCTTAGTTTATATGTTTATTTCCATAAAATGGCTTTTCAGAATCTTCTTTGCGATGTCTTTCTTTACATTAGGATTTTTTGCGATGATTCCAAATGTCTTTTTAACATTGAATATATTAACGTTTGTATCGTGTTCTACATCTTAACATACAACATTTTCTACTTGGCAATGTGTGTATCAAACAAAAGAAAAAAAAAATTTAATTTTTTTATGGACAAGTCAATAATTGAATCTTGAGTCTTGATGTCAGTAATAAAAGAAAATATTCTAAGAAATGTAAGTACGTAAGCAGAAATAGCACGATCGGGAGTAGATCCTACCTGACAGCATGGTATAAAACCTGTTTATCAAAGGCTATCAATTTTATCTGTCAAGTTAATTGTGTGTACTGCATTTAATTGCATGAAATGTATTATGAATTTTCACTCTGAACATTTTAAATCCTATACTACTATACTGCCCTCCCATGGCAAAGGGAAGCATGGGACAACAGGACAGTTTTGAGAAATCAAGCAAAACGTGTTTTTGCATCAGCCGTTCTAAATGATGAAGTGTGTTTAAAAGCTGTCATGTGATTTTTGATATATAATTAGAAGGCCATTCAAGGTATAATAATAAAAAAAAATCTAAAAAGCAGTATTTTAGCTTAAAGTGTCCCATACTTCCCTCTGCCGTGGTATTGCACAACTAGCATGTTGGAAATACGCCATATCAAAAGGAAGCAAATACACATTTATACTAAATAAAATACTCACATATGGACATATAAATTGTAAATTTATGATAACAGCATTCTCTACATAAAAATTACTCAGCTAAAATTTTTTTAAATCAAGAAATATAAATAAATATAGATAAAAGTAGGCTACCTTATATACAGATAGCCTAAAAGAATAAAATTTACAAATTTCAAAATGCATAAATTATGTTGCATCCCTGATTAAATTAATATCTAAATATTAAATAATATTTTGAGTGATTGGAACTAAAAATTATTAACTATTAGATTGGAAGCTACCGGTGTGTGTTTGTAGGGCTTGTCCTCGTTCACTGTTATTTTCCAATGTATCAATTAATGCAAGTTTATATACACCCTAGTGTTGATTTATTCAAGATTTATTCAAAATGCTTTCAGAGACACTAAATATTCATCACAGGTTTCTCAAACAATACATTTACATTGGAATAAATAATTTTGTTATTTTCTTTCTTTTAATATACATCTTGCTGGGACATTATATGCGAAGGCGATTTAGAATTAGGTTAAGTATGCATTTTGAGGAAATAAAAAAAAAATATATGTTTCTAACCAAGCAGTATTTTAGTTGAAGCGAGTAACCTGATAACAAATAAGGATACCTTTTATGGCATAATTAATGGTAAAATATGAAGCAGTGTATTTCCATTCCTGTTTGACAAAATGAATTGAATCGCTGATTCTCAAAAACAATTCTAGGAATATTTCAAACGCGTCTGCGTTCTTCATCAACTTTTGAAAAAGAATGTATTAGCGCACAAAATATTTGTGATTTTTATTTTTATATTCTTGAAAAGTCAATGAATGTCTAATCCTTAGCCTGTGTTAATCAATAGGCCTATATATCGCATAATACAATAAAATTGCCTTTATGTACTTTATAATTATGAACAAAAAGAAAAATAACCATGAAATATCCTAAAGTTACAAGGAAAAAATTAACAAAGAAACTGGCAAATATTACGTTAACTTTATAAATTAAAAAGGCGGTGAAATTTGGAATGATGAATCTAAAAACTGTATGATACTTTACTGATTCATTTAGCTTTGGTTAAATCAATAGTTTAAAAAAGATCTTCCCTACACAGGGTCAGAATACTGCATTTTCTGATCGGCTAGTGATACACACAATGCCACAACCTATCCCATGCTTCCTTTTGCTGTGGCTTTATTGTCAAAAAGTGGACATACTTCCTAATTATGATATTAATATCTCAATAAATATTTTGAAATGTATTTTTAGTTTGAAATGTGCAGAATGGTACTAAGGCCAGTCATGTTAGACAAAATATTTCATTAAAAGGAATAGGATTATTAAGTAATATTTAAAAATTTAGTAGTTAATTTTACTCGTTAAGGATATATATATAAATTAAAGTATCCGTTTTATGTATAATTTTGTAATCTTGCAGATAGTAGCCCCTGGTGGTTTATAGAGCGTCAAATAAATTGAATTGAATTGCTTTTTATCTTTGTGATGACCTATTTTAAGTTACTGAGTTAAATCTATCTGCTACATACAGGAATTTAAAACTCAAACACGTTGCCTTATACAATACGCTATGCCTTTTATCACTGTGGTTGCTGTTGTGATTTGTGTTGTTGTTGGGGTTCAGGACTTCCACATAAGAGCAACTGCTGTCTGTTGTGGTTGCTGTAGAGGTTGTTGTGGTTACTGTGGCCTTCTTGTATGCTGCCGCCGTAAAACACGCTGAAGATTCTGAATAGTTTTTGCCGTTGTGGTTGTTGTGGTAGTGGTGCTTATTGTTGTGTTTGTTGTGGCTGTTGCTGTGTTGGTTGTTGTGGTATTTGTTGTTTTTGTTACTGTTGTTGTCGTCATTTGCTTTGCACTTTCAAGTAACGTAATTTAAATATATTGTTATAGCTTATGTCCGCCTTCGTGATGGTCTTACACCTTATGAAGGACGAGTTGAGGTGTTTCGCAATGGAACTTGGGATAGTATTTGCAGCCGAGGATGGGATCTAAAGGACGCTGAAGTAGCTTGTCGGCAACTTGGTGAGTTTAAATATGTGATCCTTATAGTATTGTTAATACGGAGATGGTCTGACGTATGGAACACCGTACGTACTGGCAAACCCCTTTTGTTCCAAAGCAAATTATCCCAATGTCTTACATAATTACGGTGTCCCTCATGGTTAAATTTTGGGCCCTCTCTTGTTCACAATTTTTTTTATTAACGATCTTCGTAATTGTAACTAATTATTGTACGCAGATGACACTATTTTTATGTTAACGGAACTAACACTAATGAAATTAGCACAAAATTTGCAAATGATATGGAATCTGTTAACAACTGGCTTATCTAAAAAAAAACTTCACCTCAACTCATACAAAATGAGGTGATGCTTATCGGCACACCTCAGCAACTTATTAGTAATACTCGCATTCGTGCTAACACACCCACTAACTACGTTGTAACTCACAAACACATATAATATTGACAATAGGCTTACCTGGCACACTCGTGTCAGTAAGGTTTGCCAGGACGCAGAAAACTGTTAAGAATCCCACTGTTAATACCTACAATCACAACTACTACAATCACCTACTGTTTCTTCATCTTCATCTAACTATTTTGCCACAAAATGCTCATCTTTTGCCACTTTAAAAAAAGCTTGAACATTTATTTTTCAAAATATTTTATAATCTCTGCTATATAAAAACCGTTATTGTTGTTTCCATTGACAATATTATTGTTATTTATTTATATATTTAATACCATTTAATCTATATTTTATCGTTGAAGCTATTGCTTTTGTTTGTGCTATTATCGTTATCATTATTGATATTATTATTAATCTTGATTTCTTTCCATTATTATCAAAATTATGATTATTACTTATTAAATTATAAGTCTGATCATTATTTGTTATGCTTTTATAAGAACTGATATTCTTTTGTTATTGGTTTAATGTTTCATATGGAAATGTAATTTTTAAACTTGTCAACGTATCTTCTATTTTATTATATGTTTTTTGTTTAGAACATCTTAATATTAGTTCTCTATTAATGTTAAGCTGCTCATGCTATCCTCATTAATTACGGTTAAGTTCAAGTAAATAAATAAATAAAAATAATTGTAACACTCTATGAGGTTAACATGAATAATTTTATGAAAACACTGATACCAATTTGCGTTTTGTAAAACTCGTTTACTGACAAATTTGTGAGTTTATGTCATTCAGAACATAAGGTTGTACGGTGACAGTAGATGGTGCTTTGGTCACTTCCACATAACTTCAATATATTAAAAAAAATTTAAAAAACGCAGCAAGGAGATATAAAAAGGAGATGTGATCAAATTATTAAAATCCAGAGCAAATAGTAATGTGTTTTCTGGGCCTTCGGGGAGCCATAGTGTGCCACTACTGGGAGTCTTTAGTGCCCCGTTTTCAGCTACATGATATTGCTCGAAAGTTGTATATACAGTATATAAAAGAATATCGATGCGTCCATTACAGCAAAATTAATAAAATCAGACTTCCACATAAGAGCAACTGTAAAATTTCAACATAAATTTGCTCGTACGTCACTTAAAAAACTTAGGAAACGTAATTACCGAAATTAATCAAATTCTTTAGATTTTGTAGTTTGATGAAGTGCAAAATACAATTCGAGTGAATAATCCTCTGTAATGTGTTATTATAATGAGATGTTTTGTCCTTTATGATGTGCTATCGTACCGAATACTCGGTAGGTTCCCAAATACTCATAAGTGATTCGAACCCACGACCTCCAGGAGAACGTGACTCTCCGCGTCTCTAGGATTATAACATCGGAAATTAAATATGTCGACAGTTTCAATTAATGAAGCCACAGTTATGAGTTTACTTGAGAATATCAATATCGAAAAAGCAACGGGAAACGCAGCAGATCCATTATCGTATCGACTCACACGCATTTTCAGTTAATAAATTCAGGAGTATTTCCTATTTCCTTCTTCATGGAAAGTCGCCATTATTACCCCTTTTCATACGAGTGGATCCAAGAATCTAATTTGTAATTATCGTTCGGTCTCGGTTTTACCAACATTTTCCAGTCTTTGAACGAATAATTCATGACGCAGTCCTAAACCATGTTCTGAGTCAAAATCAGTACGGTTATTTTGTGGGGAGATATGTCAAACCAAACATTTAATGCTTCTTTTCACTGAATATGATGCTTTAAATTGTTCTTTATTAATATTTGACCAGTTCCGTTCACCACGGGGTAAATTCTCGGCCCCTTACTTTTCAATTAATTTATAAATGATCTTCCGTTACAATTAAATTATTCAAAATGTACTCTTATTTGCGGATGACGTAAAGCTCTTTAAAATAATTTCGTTTATTCAGGATGCATTGCAACTGCATTTAACTAGTACCACAGGGGTCACTTACTTTTCAATTAATTTTTAAATGGTCTTCCGTTACAATTAAATTATTCAAATTCACTCTTATTTGCTAATGACGTAAAGCTTTTTAAAATAATTTCGTTTGTTAAGGATGCTTTCAACTTCAGGAGGACGCAAGCCACCTCGCAGACTGGGCCGGGATCTGAAAGCTCAACCATAACATTTTGTGTTGCTAAAAATAATTAAAACCTTTTAAAGCCATTTTGCTTTAGAATCAATTGACCACAGATCTAAAGGCAATTAAATCTCAATTACAATGTTAACATTCTCTTTCCTCTCAAATGATAATCTTATAATTAAATCAGGTGTCGAAATATATAAAAAGCTGTATTCATTGATTTAAATAAATTGACTTGGTAGAAGTAATTAAATGTTCTTTAATTAATAATTGTAGGTCTATAAAATAATAATAAATAATAATACTTCCTATTTTGTATATTTTTGTAATAATAATAATTTAAAAATATTTTGTAAATAGGCCTAGCTGCCTATGTAATAATCATATTATCATATATTTTCAGTATATTGATACATTTAAATTTTGTACATTTAAAACAAATTGTTACATACTTACATTTTTTGTTTAATGCTTAATTATATTATTCATATTACTGTATTTATTTTTTCTTGGGGACCCCTTTTGAAACAAGCCTATCAGCTTTATGGTTATCCTCTGTTATCCATTCCGGTATGTCTTATTGTCAATGTTTTGCTCTTGTGTTTTCAAATGAATTTTTTGGGTTTGGATAAACGTTATTCATTTTTATTGTGCGAAATATGCGCAAAACAAGTGAGCAGATGTAATTGGAAAAACAATAAAAGAAGAACTCCAATCCATCACCCAAACCGCTGTATGGGGATAAGCACACGCCGCTGAGGAGGATCTGTCAAAATGGACCGGATTCAGGCCCCTCCTATTCCAGGACGTATATAGGGGGAGCCGTGGGAGCCGCGGCTCCCCCCCCCCCCCCCTTTGTACACAGTGTTAAAATTTTGTTCACACAAAGTGTAAAAAGCTTGTTCTTGCTAGCCAATAAAGATTCTTTCCAGGGATCACTCAAAACAAAATAAATACTTCTAATCTATGTAAATATGCACCAGCACACGTTATACATAGGCCGACTATAATAACACATAGGCTAGGCCTAAGCGTGATTTTTAAAAATCTTAAATCCTTAAGTCCCAGGCAAGGTCTTTCAGATACAGAGAAATGTGATATTATGATATGGTTCAGTTTGGTTTTTATCCTCTTGTAAGCTATATAAAGTTTTGATTTAATACTCAATACTACTAGTAGTAATAATAATAATTATTATGATGATGACGATGATGATGATGATGATGATGACGATGGTGATAATAGATAATAATATTAGTAGTATTCAAAAGTGAAGAAAATTGTGCTAAAGGGGAAAAAATAAGTTGTGATTTATTGATCACAATTATTATAGTATAGTTAAAGCTATAGTTAGGCCTAAGTTGTTTTGGATATTAAGTAGATCCCTGATAAAAGATCATGAGAAATTTGTTGGCGCTTCATTTTGTCTATATTATAATGATGATGAGGTGATGATGATGAATTTACTATATAAAAGTGCCATTTCCGGCCATCTAGAGGTACTATTTCCTCAAATTTCGCACCTCAGCTCCATCCATGGTGGGGCTGAGGTAGTTGTGAATTCACTGCTTTGAAGTATGAAAAGTACATACTCAAAAACAATGTTTATAAGCTTTATTTTCTATGGTACATCACACATGTTAATAAGATCTCTATGGTTGCCGAAAATCCCTGATAAAAGATCATGAGATATTTGTTTGCGCTTCATTTTGAGTATACTGTATAATAATAGTGATGTAATGATGATGATGAATTTTACTAAAAATGTCATTTTCTGGTCATCTAGAGGTACTAGTTCCTCAATTTTTCGCACCTCAGCCCTAACGATGGTGGGTCTGAGGTGGGTGTCGACTCACGAAATGTCCCCTCCCACCTTTACCTTTTGAAACAGATTGCGTCATTCCTGGTATGACATTAAACTCCATCGAGTACAGTATTTTAAATAAAGAATGTTTTGAGCAGTGGTGGATTCATGGGCCCCTCCCCCTAAATTTTTTAATGAAAAAAAGACAAATATAGGCCCCTATCCAAATATAAGTTTGAGAGTGTAATTTACCGCCATCTAAAGGTGCCCTAATCATAGATTTTCTTACCTTAGCCCCAACCATGGTGGGGCTGAGGTGGGAGGTTCCTCAATCTGTAAAAGTCCCTCCCTGGGTCACTTCAAAAAACGAAATAAGTGAGTTTTAAACGAGATTTAAACAAAAAGACGGATGGCGACTAACGAATAGATAACGGTAAAGAATTCCATAATTTAGGTGCAGCAACCAGAAAAGAACGCTCCTATCCCCACATGACTTTAACCTGCAGGGTGGACTATAAGTAGTCAAATCAGTTGTTCATCTGAGGGTACGTACAAGTGCAGACTTAATAAGTTGAGAAATGTATTTGGGAGATAAGTAATGAATGGATTTGTAAACACACATTAAACTTTTGAAATCAATACGCTTCTTCACGGGTAACCAATGGAGATGACGGAGTAACTGTGGTGATATGTTAAAATTTAGGTGTTCCAGTAACCGACCGAGCAGCGATGTTGAGTAGCAGCTGAAGCTTATAAATTGATGTTAGAGGCAATCCGTAGAAAACCCCATTACAATAATCCAATATGGATGTTACTAAGGCGTGCACGAGTTTAGAAGCGGCATCTTCGTGTAGAAAATGTTGATGTTCGAAGTTGAAAAGATACTGTTCTGCAGATGTTATTAACGTGCCGCTTGAATATAAATAGATTTTTTTTTTACTTTGAATGGATAACAATAAATATTATACTATACATTATGAAATGTAAATTATGTCCATTAGGTCTACTCTCAAGAAAAAGCCAGTTCTTTTCCGTTATATATTAAATATGCAAGAACTTAAGAACTTGAGTTTCTGTTCATAAAGATTGATGTGTTTTTACTGACTTATGAATGGGGAGGCGGGCATACCATGAAAGAATATAGTTCTGTCCAATAAATGCCTGGAGTTCACAAGCACTGAAATAGCAAAACAAATAGTCACGTAAAGAAGAAAAAATGATGAGAATGTTATAATCTAGTGAAATCTCTATGAATACGTTCACTCCCGACAATATCACATTTCATATAAGGGATCCATTTCGGGGACGCAACACACACAATTTAAATAAAAACACATATCGATTAGGCCTACTTTCCGACGTTGTTTCGAACTAACATAACCCAATTCAACCATCCGATTATCTAGAAGATGTATCCAATATCACCAATAGACTAGCCAAAATAATAACCAGTGAATTATCTCTGAATACGTTAATATAAGGGTTCCATATTGGGAACGCAAGGCCTACTCGAAGATTGAAAGACAAACTATTATACATAGTGAGTGGGCATTTAGATCAGCCAGTGAAACGTTTATTAAAAAACCAAGAACTCGATTGACTTCAAATTACAAATTGGTTGAATATGGAGACGCCATTTGAGGTTTTATTGAATAATAACGCAAAGGTAGATATGATCAATCTGGCGCGAAATTTCAATAATTCCGCTCCATAATATTTCAATAATTTTTTTAAAATTATGAAGTAAAAAAATATGAAACATGAAAAATCAATTCGCCGTCAATGAGACTCAAACTATGGCTGGTGGCTTGCAGAAAAAGCAAAAAGCGGAACAAAAACAATAGATTTTTCTGCTAACACAACATGAAAAGCCAATAATCAGAACAAAAACAATGGCTTTTTCTGCTAAAGCAGGAAAGTCAATAATGGCTTTCCGCTATTAGTAGAAACGTCAATATTTATAATAATAAATATAAATCGGGAATTAGACCTCTTTTTTCTTCTGTTTTATAGACCTATTAGTAAACTTTACAGCACACACTATCTGAGACCATCATCATCTTTGTTGGCTGAACTGGTGTTGGTTCTGTGTTTTAATGTGATATCTGTTGTTTTGTAGGATACTGGAGAGGTGCTATGTTTACAAGGATAGGTCAAAATGGGAGAAGCCGTAGCAAGTACATGCTATCCAATATCGCCTGTACAGGCTTAGAAACTGCTGTTCAGGATTGTCACCATAAGAATGTTCTCACAAGTAATGATTACTCAACAATTGAAGAAGAGGAATGCCCAGCAACGTTGGCTGCTGGTGTCACGTGCAACGGTAATTTTTAGGTGTTTGGTAGAATCTAAATTTTCTAAATTTATGATTGTTTAACCTCATATATAACTCAAAAATACTTCGTTGCAATTTAAAAAGTATTTTATACGAAATAAATAATTAAATATAAATATTAATTAGAATTACATACTAACGTTAACTTCTTTTTTACATTTTGTTGTTGCTTTCAGTTCCTGGATACCAGGGTTGCTTTAATCATTTGTCAAATGCATTAGCTCTTCGAAGAGTTTGTACGTCTGATTCCTCAATAACTGTTAATGTGTGCGCGGCTTATTGTAGACGCAAAGGTTATGCATACTCTGGTGTTACACACGGTCAAGAATGTTGCTGTGATAACCAGGATCCACGAACCTTCTCCGAGAAGCGAACTAACAACTGGGATTGCGCTTTGCCGTGTGCTGGAGATAATTCACAGGCTTGTGGTGGCAATCTTTACATCGCTATTTACAAATGTATGTCAATTTAATTTCCTTTTATATTATAGAGCTATTTTATGAAAAAAAAATACTCGACTCAGCATCATGAAAACAGAAAGGAACCAAGAACCAGGATTGCCATTGAAGGGGGGGAAAGGATGTAAAGATGGGCCAGGATGTAAAGATGGGCCAACTGGGGTCAGAGGGTAAAGCCCCCGGTAGAGCCTGTTGGATGGCATCTTCGATTTTACATTATTGTGACAACTTCCAAACCCAAATACTGGTCTAACGATAGATCGCTGGTTGAAATGTAAATGTTTGAGATTTATTCATTTATATAATTATAGAAAATAACAAATTCAGTAAATTCTCCTCGACAGTTTGTAATGTTTATTTTTACAGCAGAAATTGGCTCATGTGGTGCAGTTTACACTTCTCGTTCTGGATACATAACTTCTCCAGCTTTCCCATCAACGTTAAGCTTCGATTCAGCCTGTCAATGGACAATAAAGGCACATGTCACGACGGTCATCCATCTTAAATTTGAGATGTTTCAACTCGGACCGTCGGATAACATGACACTCACGACCAAGATGAATCGCAGACTGATATTGGAGGGAAATCAATTCCAAGGCGTCATTCCCGTCATTGATCCGGTGGTGACATCAGAATTGGTGGTAGAATTGAACACTGGACAGACTGATATTTATTTGCAGCGTGGATTTGTAATGCATTTCAAGACTAATTCAGGTACTATTTTTACGGATATATGTCAGGATTTCTATGTTAACGTTTCTGAATTATCAAATAGGCCTATATATTTTATTACACTAAAATTAGTAATGTTTATTTGGAAGTTTGTTTTATAATATATATATATATATATACATATATATATATATATATATATATATATAACTAATAAGGAACTTTCGTTGTATTTTGTTACACTAAAATTAGTAATGTTTATTGGGGAGTTTGTTTATATATATTATATATTATATATAATATATATATATATATTATATATATTATATATATATAACTAATAAGGAGTTTTCGTTAATAAACTACGTTTGATACGATTTGTAATATCATGTATTTGAGCACTATATTATTGAATATAAAAAACAAAGTACTTTGATAAAGACCTACGGATATGTTGAAATACTGGTTTTCTCCATAAAGTGTTCTAAAGTCTATACATGGTATTCGTTTAATGTATACACCAAATAGATAATAAATGTATATAGGCCTATATATCTTCTTGTTGATATTTTCCTTTACTACCGTAAATAGGAACAGAAGCAATCCCAAGCCAGCTTCCAAGTCTAAATCCTGGACAAGTTCAAACAACATCACATTATAACGATGATATTTATCCTGATAATATGCATCCCGGAGGACTCTTTTCTAAGGGTAAGTTGTATGACGACTGAATATAATATCAACATGGCACCTAAAAAGGTTAATTATTGTCGGTTTTTGTTGTTAATGAAACAGAAACGCATGAAAGGCAAATAAGCGACTTATTAAAACTACAGCAGTTGGAGATGCGAGTGGGAGGCTTAGAAAAGTTGAATCTTCAGATTATCTTTAAAGCGTTTGTATTGACCATCACGTGTCACATGCGTTAATAACAAATATTGTTTTAATATTCGTCTGCTAGTTGTGTAACTTGTACGAAACACGAAACTTTGGTAGAGGCTTTCAAACGATGTAAGTTGAACAGCTTGTGAGTTGTTTGAAAACACCATTATCTAGGTCATGTGTGGCAACTTTCAGTGTTGCAGCCAAAAAAAATATCATAAGCAGTACAGGAGCCATAACACAGCCTTGTTTGACTCTTGTTTACTGGAAAGCTGTCAGATAGCTCACTGTCAACATGGACTGTTGCTTTCGTATCATGTTCAAGAATATTTGTTGACACCCTATTGTCAAGGGAGCATCACGGTCAACAAGATCAAACATTTCGTAAAATCTATTAAAGCAGTAAACAAATGTTGATTTTGCTCTCTGACTTTTCTTGTACCTGTTCGATTGCGAATATCATGTCGACAGTCTGCGACTAGATCGCAAACAGTGAAGACGCCTTAGGACAATCTTTGCTAGAAGTTTACCGGGATTTGATAATAATTATTTAATAATAATAATAATAATAATAATAATAATAATAATAATAATAATAATAATAATAATAATAATAATAATAATAATAATAATAATAATAATAATAATAATAATAATAATAATAATAATGTCATTTTGTTAGGCGCACGTATCCATCCCTAGTAGGGGTGCTCGCGGCGCCGTTTTCCACCTGCCGAGTGTACATGTAGCCATTTCCCGCATTATTATGTGAATTAATTAATTTAATTATTTATTTACTCATTAACGTATATTTATTTGTGTCGGACCAGACAGGATGGGAAAGATAGGCAAAATAAGATGGAACTACTCTTCGGGGTCACCATCCATCACCATCCTGGCGCAATCCCGGACCTCTGCCTAGGTGGCTCGAACAAAGGAACGGGAAACACATTTTCCCTGCCACAGACGACCGGGTGCTCAGGAGTTGTAATCGAGACAGTGGCCCCAAAAAATAAATGCCGGCCTGTGAGAGACGGGGAAAAGCGGTTATTGAGTTGATTCAAAGTGAGAAATAAAAAGAAAAGATTTAAGTTCAGACTTTAATTCTGGGAGTGAAGTCAAATTTCGAACGTCGAATGGGAGCTGGTTCCAGACTTTTCCAGCTGCAAATTTAAAAGCCCTTGATCCCCAGTGATTATTGATTCTGTATTCTGCGAGCAATGAGCGATCAGCCGAGCGGAGGCCTGATCGAGATGGCTTGTGGGGGGTCACAAGTCTGCTGATATAGACCGGTGAAATTTCATGCAAAGCCTTGAAAATGAGCATCCCTTGCTTGTACGTGATACGTTGCTTGATTGGTAGCCAATGTAATTCCCTGAGGACTGGAGTTATGTGATCGTGTATTCTCTTCAGAGTTATAAGTCGGGCAGCACTGTTCTGGACACGTTGGAGTCTAGTGATGAGTAACGTGTTCAATCCGTGCAGAATAGAATTACAGTTATCTAGCCTTGAAGTTATGAAAGAATGAATGAGTATTTCAGCAATGTGACTATTTATATTCTTTCGAATGCGACTGATGTTATGAAGGGAAGTACGAGCAGATCTACAAACCGCGTTCACATGTTGAACCATTGAAAGGGTGTTGTCAAAAAGAATGCCAAGATTTCTGCAGGTGGGTGATGGTTTGATTAGAATTTTACCAATCTTGATGTGACTGACAGACTGAAAGAGAGACTGAAGCTCTTCTGCTTTTTCTCTCCACCATGCATCTTTGGTGTTTCTGAGTCTAGATTGATCTTCCTGGCGGAGTTGGACATAATCTGTGCGTTTGGAGGGGCTGATGCTGTCTGAAAGCCACTTCTAAAAAGGATATTTATGCACCGCCCACTTCATACTTACAAAGTGGTCTCGTGACTAAATGATGTCAGACTTGTTCCTTTACAATAATTGTAATCAAGGTAAAAGGTTTGATTTGGCTTTCACCTGCTCATCAGAAGGCATTGTAAGGTCTCGGCAATGTGGTGCAACTAAATAATTTGTATTTTGCATTCGCAATCGCAACATTAGATTTTGTATAGGTACATCCATAGCTCATATTAGAAAAGCATCATTTTTTTTCATGTATAGGCATCATCAGAATACATAACTAAATACATGAGCACTTAGAAATTGTAGTAGTAGTCTGACACTGTTTTAAACAACATGACTACAAGCATGATTTATATATTTGTTTTATTTCATAATCTGAAAGAATCAAAAGTGTACATAATAATGATCCAAAAACTTAAAGGAATAAAAATCGTCGTATAGAAAATATCATTGCAGGATTGTATGATAATGCCTATAATATAAACTACGTTAAACACTCAGTATACATTATCCTAATCGGGTTCTTGACAGGGCCTAGCCTAGGATAGGCCTAATTGGGTAGACCAGAAAGAAATTGCATGCCACACACTTGGTTGGAAACGGTAATTTCATATGCCGTTTTTAGTCCTACTTATTTCATTTTCATTTCATTTATTTATTTTCCAGATTGTTACAAACATCACAAACCTAGAACTATTCTGGCGGATCGTCAGAAAGCAAACAAATTCACTGAGCAAAGACTTTCCAACTAATACTAGAACAGAAACAAACAGGATTTAATTAACATGAAAAGCAAACAAAGCAGAGAAAAAAGCACAATCAGCAAAAAGAAATGAATCAGTAACAGAAGAAGGGATCTCATCCCACATCCGTGGGAATGAGATAAAAATGGAGTTAAAAAAGCATTTGTACGGGCCTTTGCATGTCAAAAAACAATTTTCTCAGTTCTACGGGCAACAGGAACAGGCAACAGAGCATCATCAATGAGAAAAATCTGACCATAGGCCCTTGGCAACGAATTTTACACGAATATATTTTAGTCTATTGACAAATGTAGGAAGTTTTAAGTGGAGCAACCTTTCTTCATATGTTGGTCGTGAATCAAATTGAGTTTGAAAATAATATGGAAAGCAAGATCTTGCAAAGCGCAACTGGACCGATTCAATTTAAAAAAAAGGAAACCAAACAGGAGAGGGAAATTCAATAATTGGCATAATATAGACTTAAATAATTTAATGTTGTACAGTATTGATATTATTATAAGGACTATGAAATTGATTGTTCACGGCCGCCCATATTCTTAGTATCAATTATTACCTTAATTGGTAAAAACATTATAAAGAGATAGTGTGAGAGATTCATTCATCATTATGAAGGTAACATTTAGGTATCAGACTAATATACCCTTTTCGTATGGTCGGCCACCAGGGTCGCTTTTAAGGTAAAATCTGTGGGGATGCTACTAGTCTAATACCTTAAAATTTCAAGAAAGTATGTTTTATGCTCTCCCTATAACGACAAATAACTAAAACAGTGATATTTAGCATTACAGTATTAAACAAATTTACATTAAAAACTATCCAGGTGATCATCGTCATCATCATCATCTTCATCATCATCATCATCCTTATCATGATCATTATCATCATTATCATCATCATCATCATCATCATCATCATCACCACCACCATCACCACCATCATCATCATCATCATCATCATCATCGTCATCATCATCATCATAGCAATGATGATCTATCTAGTCCAATGCCTCGTATTATGCACACCAGCCGCGTATTTCATTCTAATCAATGTAGGGATATGTAGACTAGGGCGATGGCACAGTTTGGACTCGCGTAGTCGTGTGATTATTTTGTCTCCAGTTTAATACCACAACACGGTAGGCCTACTTAGTGCATTTGCTTTATTTTTACTAATACTGTATTATCGTATTAGGTCAACAGGAAAATATTTAATCGACGACAACACTGCAACTGTTTTGTTTTCTTTTTAGTCTTTGTTGCTCTAATAATGTTGTTTTGATATATAATATTTTCTTGAAATTCTATATTGTATACACATTAAAAACATTTGAATTGCTTTCGAATAAACTATATAAAGGTCCAATATTTTGTATCTCCTTTGTGGTGAAACCACTAATAGTTTATTCACATTTCATGTTATTATTTACAGAATTATTGATAGCAGTAATTATTGTGTTTGGAGTAATTATGATCGGGTTGGTACTCGCATTAACATGTAGGTTTTATAGGTGAGTATGTGTTAAATAATGTCCTTGTGTTGCTTTTTAACTGTACCACCTTGTGCTAGGTTTTATCAATATTCTATGGAAAAGCAATGTAATAGAATTAAAATAAATATATAATTTACAATTATATTAAAATGGACAATAAAGTAGGCATAATTATAACAGTAATTGTCACAGGAATTGCACTTTGAACTTGATCCTACTTCAAGATGTACTATATGCAATCGACATTTTATTTGGCAGCCTGACCATTTACGAACAGTATGTAAATCGATATATACATAGGAAGATGACAATACTAAATATAATATACTTCTTATTTCTTTAAGTGGCAAGAATCAAGAAAAGGAACAATTTGTTAAAATACAACAGCCAAAGCGATTACCTGAATTCTATATTGAACCACCAGCTGATCATTATTATAACCTTCTTCCACTTCGTAGCCAATCAAAGCGTTTCAAGTCTAAGCCAACTGTGTGTTTAAATGAGTATAGTGGACGGCCAGTAATGACTAACAAACCGCCAATAAAACCAAAGCCAAAAATGACAAAGTCACCTATGTATGGTGTAAGTGTCCCATTAGTTACGAAACCTCCACCATCAATGCAGGTAGATTTAATTTCTCAGCCACAATATCAAAATTTAGGCCTACCAATAAAAAACGTTCCGGGTCAAACCCCATTAATTAACCATGCCAGTCCTTATGATTATCAGCCTATACGGTTTACAACATTGCAGCAAAAATCGTGTGTATTACCTGTTGCAGATAGTATTACGACAGTCGAATATAGTACACCGTCGTCCGATTTTCATTCAAACAATTTGGGGTTACACAGTGTGCGTACACAGCCACAGACCCGATGTCCCATTTTTAATCAACAAACTAATTTTCATAAAAAATTTGGTAATATATTATCAAGTAAAGGCAGTAGAAAAAACCAGTATGATGAAATTGGCTTCAAGGTAACTCCAAGAAAAAGAAACATGTCGCAGATATCAAACTCATCTAGGGACAGTGATTTAGATGGTTATTTAATACCTTGTAAATAGATGCATTTATTATTTTGGTGGTTTTTTTTCTAAAAACAATATTTGAAAATTTAGAGTGGTCTCAGGGTTCGGTCTCCAATTAGAAACCACTGACTAAGGTCTCTAAACAGACAATGTCTGAATAGTAGTCTCCAGAAGCAGCATAATTGGATGGTGATAAAATACTAAAACCTCTAATAACAAAAAACCAAGCTGCAAGTGGTCATCAATGACTGCATCATTAAAAAGAAACTCCGGACACAATTAGAACTAAAATGCAATAGATGGTAGGCCGCAATGATCAGTAGTCTCCAAAAGCAGCATAATTCGATGGTGATGAAATACTAAAACCTCTAATAACAAAGACCAAACTGCAAGTTGTCGCCAATGACTGAATCATTAAAAAGAAACTCTACAAATCCGGACACAAGGACTAAAATTCAGTGGACAGCAGGTCGCAATATAATTATCCAAGTTAATCTGTAGGTTTCTGATGAGGTCAACTTATTTTAAGCTTTTAACAATGGTATTTTAATTTACAAAACACTGAGGGATACCAGTATTAGTGTACAGGATACAGTACCATGAATATAGGCATATTTCTTAAATATAATGAGCAACAGTGCAAACCATTGAAATTGAATGTTTGAAGAACACGATATTAAAATCGGGAAGCAGAACATCAATGCAGTTCTTACATATCCGGTCACTATTGCAGTGTGCACACCCACGTCGGACTCCTCTTCAAGTGGGTACATTTACAAAAAAGAAACCCTGAAAACTGACAATAAATTCCTTAACTTTTTTTTAAAATATGTGATTCGGTCATTAAAGGCTGATTTATTTTTGAGTGGATGTTGTCTAAGAAAAAAAAATATTTTGGTTAGTGAGCATTTGTTAACAATGCCGATATAGTGTGCCCTTTATTAAATTTAACATTAGTTATATTTGTGTTATATTCTAAAATATGGTAGCATATACAGTTATGTCGGATAACCCTCTCAAATAACAGTACTGAAAACAGCCAGAATCAGCAAGCCATCGGGCTCCTTCCACTGGATAGACCCCTTCGAGAATCCCACGGATTTCTACACTTCAAAGTTAAAATCTGTGGAAACATTGTAAATCATTGTTAGATATGTGATAATTATGTAAAATGAACATCTCTGTTAAATACTGGACAATCATTGTTGTAAATAACAGTGCATTTGTTGTTAATATACTTTTCCAAAGTGGTCTTGTAGATTGTCTTTTCACATGGGACTTTTAGTGGTCATTGTCTTTGATTAGAGGTGTCTCAGATTTAGATGGTGAATATAGTGTAAAAGATAGGTGATGAGTTGGTACTTTGATAAAGAAATAGGGGGGCCTCGATTTGGAGGGTTAACTGTAAAAGTAACTTATTATATAATAATTATTTAAATTATTCGAAATTGTTTTTTGTTTTTTGTTTTTTTTTTGTTTTTTACTTTGCTGTGATTAACGAAGCATTACAAAAATATCGTTCCTAAAGCTGAATAGTTCATAAGTAACATGCATTAAAATACAGTATGTTTCGTTAAATGGCATCTCTTCATAGAGAAAACTTTTTTCACTATAGGACCTTAGCCCTATGTTTGTAAAATGTGAACTTACAAATGTTTGATAACCGTGACAACTCCAAGAATACAATGCAATATTTTTTGTCAGTGATACTTCATCTCCGTGTTTAACAGAGGTTTCCTAATGCGCCTTTACTGTAGTTTTCACGTAGCATTTAGAACAAATAAATAATCAAGGCTTCAATAGAAACCATTGAGTTTACAAAATATCGGAGTCTCTGAGTGTTTTAATTTCTGCTGTTCCTTTTAAAGCAGAAACATTGTCTTTCCTAGATTATTTTTCTCAGGTTTCTATGATAGCAAGGTGATTCAACAAAATGACGCTCATCTTCGTACATCAAAATCTCTGGCATCGACATTCTACTCGTTGCGCTGTTTGCGAGCGGTGTTGACCGTCCTTTTCTTTTGTTGAATTGCTTTGATGATAGTAGTTACTAGTGGTCTGCGGTATGTAGAAAGCACCTCCAAGAGAGTCATCTGAGCATTATATTGGTTCCTGTATAGCAGCTTATGAATCATTTTAACTGACATTGTATATGTTTATTATGGTGAGTATATATTAAGTTTGTAAACAGGCAAAGCGACTTTTCATTAAAAGAGCTATAGCTTGATGCAATACTATCATGTTCATATATTGAACATTGTATCAATTAATGGATAGCCACTCTGAATGTACAGACGTCTTTGTTAAGTCACTGTTGATGGATGTTAAGAAGATAAGGTCTTTGGTTTATGTTTATTACCAAACATGTACGTTCTATTCGATGTGATGTATATACACAATCCCACACATTAATAGTACCTATATTGAGATTGAATTCGTGTTGTATAAAATAATTAAGTTCAGAAGTACAACACATACTTCCTTTGACGTTATCCCCGTGATTCTATGCACAAGATAAATTATTATATAATAATAATAATAATACAATGGATTTAACCTAAAAATTAATAAAAATGTGTAATTGCAATATAATAATCGGCTAATTAAATTTGATATGGTCTATCCATTCATTCTATTAAATAATTATTCAAATCATGCAACATTCGTAATTCAAATACAGTAATTGCATACCGCAATCATTATCGTTCAATATCGTTCGAACTACGTAACTGCTTTTACCTTGTTCATAAAAGCAGTTCAAATTCAGTATTAAGATAAAAGCAACTTTAGTTGAATCAGGGTTGATTCAATGTTGAGTTTTGGTTGTATTTGAAATTTTTTATAAACGTTAATTTCAACGTTGTCACAGTATAACATATTCAACGGTGAAACATCATGAAATTTTCAATTTTAGTCAACGTTGTATTTTGGTTGTACAGTATATGAACAATTTTCATCAACGTAAATGTAAACGTTGATTCAATATATCTTCACCCTTAAAACAACTAAAATTTTTAATGTTGAGTCAGTGTTGTATTTTAGTTGTACATATGTTTTCTTTAACAAAAAGTTAATGTTAATGTTAGTTCAATGTTAATTTAATGTAAAATATTCAACGTTGATTCAGTGTCAAATGTTTAACATTTAATTATCAGGAATGAGCCAACATAAAAAGATCAAGGTTAATTCAATGTAAAATGTTTAATATAAACGGTAATATGTTCAATGTTGCGTCAACATTGATGCTAGATGCTGTTTCATCTAACGCTGATTCAATATAAAATATTAAATGTTAATTCAAAATTAAATGTCAACGGTTATACGATGGAAATAATTCAATGTCCATTTTATGTCAATTGTTAAACGTTGAATCAAAGTCAAATTGTTAATGTTGAGACAACTTAAAATCGTTCTTTCAACAAAAATTCTATGTTGAGTCAACGACAAATTGTTAACCTTGAGTGAACGTAATCATGTTGAACATACATTATATAAATGTTCAACAAAAATGTGTAATGTTGATTTAATGTAAATGTTTAATGTTGATTCAATCCAAAATGTTAATGTTAAGAGTCCACGTACCACTCTTATGCCTACTATCAACTTGCAAGCAGGGCCTGTCTTCGTTTAACGCTAAGTGCTGTGATTTATGATTTTCTCTCTTGGTTTTTTTTTTTTTTTTTTTTTTTTTTCTTTGTTTTTTTTTTTTTTTTTTTTTTTTTTTTTAATAGTGACATACCGTAAAACCTCGAATTGAAGCCCAATGGGCTTAATCTCCTGATGAAGCCCATCTCGAATTGAAGCCCCCTCTTTTGTTTGCAAAATTAGCCTCGAAAAGAAGTCCATCACGAAAGAAAGCCCATGGGCTTCTTTTCAAGATAGCATAGGCTTCTTTTCGAGATAGTACAGTACATGTAGTGTACATGAATTTCAAAAACAAAATAAATTAAAAACAAATTGATGTTACAGTGGCATATATTTATTGTTTTATAGGATAAATTCACAAAATTTACAGCATTCATTTTGAAAAGAAGCCCCATCTTTACTTTGCAAAAGTAGCCTCGAAAAAAAGCCCATTTTGAAAAGAAGCCCACCTCGAAAAGTAGCCCATCCAAAGTTCGCAATAAAAAGAAGCCCAGAGCTTCAATTCGAGGTTTTACGGTATTACAGTATGAGAATAGTATGATCAGGGAACAGCCTTCAACATAGTTTTGTAGTACCTGTATGTTCTTCAAAGATTGTACATTTATATACTAAATAAGTGAGTAATTTTTAAGTTATTCCAATACAAATTGTAAAATGATTGGTCTAATATAACAAAATCATAGTTTCATTCATCATCTACTTTATTCACATACATCTACAATACTACTGTACATTACTTGATTGGTTTGATATTGTTTTAGTAATGAATTTTCACTTTCCAAGGCATTTTCATGCATTTACTGAAAGTTGAAAGGCAAATGCTTGAAGGCAGGTAGATGTAGTTTCTTTGGATTTTTCGTTCGCTTTTGATAAAGTCCCACATAGGGATTTGATTAAAAAACTTAAAGTATGGGTATTAATGAAGTGTAAATAAGTGTATTCAAGACTTTCTATCAGACAACAAAAAGCTGCCTACAAAGGAATGATATTAAGCCTTAAAGAAAGCCACATCTGCTGTTCCCAATGGGCCAGTAACTTCTTGGCAAAGGTTATTCATTTATATTGCGCAAAATACGAGAGTCTCTATGCGTAGAACAAGTGAGCAGATGTAACTGGAAAATAAAAAAGAAAATCCAAGCCAGCACCCAAACCGCAGTATGGGGATACGCCCTCGTCTCTGAGCAGGGATCAATCAAAATGTACCCTGCCCAGCACCAGTTGAGTCTTGGCCATCCCAGGACTCAGGCGCCTCCTTTTGTTTTGTTTTTAATTTTTTTTTTTTAATTGTTCTTCAATATGCAGATGTGTGTATTATTGTAGTGTATCTGGATTTGTCATGAAAATTTTCTTTCATAACAATATTCTGTATAGGCCTACATTACAAAAAAAACACTTTAAAAATGAGTAACTCTTGGAGTTACCATGTTATATCGTTGATCATGAATAGTACTACCATGTTCTAGAGGTTGTCCTTCAAATGACGGTAAAGGCGATCATGGTGAACGCGTGCTGCATCTCTATAACGCGTGTTCGAGTTTCGAGCGCAATTTTGTTCGAATTCCGAAAGCTATTCAATTGTCAATAGAGCACCCGCTACCTCGTGGTAGTAGTACCCATCATGCCTAGACCGGAATTACACTTTTCCGCCATCTTTAATTGCTACATCATGACATAGTGTCTACGCCCTCATTGGGGGCAGTATACACAAAAACAAGCCAATAGGAGTATAAATATAGATAAAATATTTGTTAAAAAACACATATTAGACTATTTTAAAAAATCTGTTTCAACCATCTGGCATCTGGTCATGTATGTATGTATATATGTACTGTACATATGTGTGTGTGTGTGTGGGGGGGTTGGTGGGAAGGGGTGTGTGTGTATGTTTAACAGAACTTCATTAGATAGTTCTATTCGAGATGATACAGATGCTGTATCTAAAGGTTAAGCGGCATAGAGAGAAAGAGTGATGTGGAGAAATGATTGGCACACGCTATAGACAAAGAAAAAGAAACGTGGTGCGTTAATTCAAGAGTTGAAGATGACCTATGGCGGTCAAAGCAAAGACAGAACTCAGTCAATGCATCCCAACCTCGGCAATCGTCAGTATATTTGCTTTAAAACAACTACTTACAATTAAGAGCAAGTTTGATGGGTAGATCAAGCCTAACGATCATAGAAAGCCCTCAATAATATTGCCGAACGTGCCCCGTCCATCAATTAACGTTTAGTGAGTAAATCACTCAAACTACACCAAAAAAAATAACATCATATTCCATCACTTTTCAGAGAGATTCTACTCTGTGGTTGATAGTCCATGGCTAAGAAGCTAATATTTAGATTTGGATCATCGGCTAAAACCTGTGTAACAGTAATATAGCACTGTAAAACTGTTGTTGTATAAAAGTTGCTGTTTTGGGCAATTTGTTTAGATCTTTGGTAAACTCCGCAATCCTTTCTTGGCTCTTGAATGAACATCGTTTGTTAGCTTCCCTGTTTGAATAAGATGGAGAGGGAACAACTTTAAAAAAAAGATATAATATAAAGAAATTAATAAAGACAATTTTCTTTCTTTTTTTTAAAACCATATTTTTAGAGGTGACCCTTCCGACACACCCTAGGTCAGCGGATATTCAGGAGACATCTTAAGTAAATGAAATAATGTGATGCTTTTGTCAACATAGGCCCAACTTGTTTGCAAATGCATTCATGATTATTCTTTGCAGAAGGTAGTCATCGACATAGGCCAACTCTTTCATACATTTGTGAACATCTTGTACAAAATGTATACAAGACAAAATATTGGTTATATTGGCTTAATCATGTACTTTACTTGTATTTATGAAATGGAAAATACATGTTTCAGTACAATGAATCTTGCTAAGATATCCCCTGTAACAACAACACAGTTTAAATTTTGTTCAATAAGAATGGAGTTATTTTGAATTCTTCGTTATCCTCCTAAATACCAATTTACATAATTTATCACTACAAAATTCTTTACAAAAAACATATCAAAATTAACAGCAAAACTTAACTTACATATTTTGTGCTTTCCTTTGATTGGAAACCTTACAATCAACTCTTGAAAATTCTCAGCTATGATTACAAATGGTGAAGATGATTCACCATCAGGATACTATAAGAAAAATAAAAGTTACAGAATGTACTGTCATTAACAACTTTATAGCTCTAAAAATGACATTATAAATAATATACTATCACAAATTTCATAGACTAAATGTTAAGCAATTAAGTGTGTCCTTAGAAGATGAATATTACTTTATTGCACTCTGAAATAAAACCAAGTTTGAGTTCAATCAAATATTAATTATATTTCATTTCAAAAGTATGTAATGTAATGTATTTCATTTTCATTTCATTTATTTCGCCAGATATAAATATATAAATATACAAATATAAAATTTCAAAAATAGAATTGTTGCCATGTGGCAGGATTGCCCAAAAGTAGAAGATCTACTGTCGAGGGGCTCTCCTCATGACAACAAAAATACAATATCGCAATTCAATATACATAATTTAAAAAAAAAAAAAAAAAATATATTATAAACATTAAAATGCAGTACGGTATAAGAAAACATAATATAATAACAAAAAGATTAAAAAGGCCTAATAAAAAGAACAGATAAAATAAATTTTACAATTAAATAAACAAGTATACAATGATATTAAAATACAGCAAGAATATTAGAAGGCAGTATTAAGATATTTTAATAGATAAATACATTATCTAAACTGGAACAGATAACATAACAGCAGAAGTAACTAAACATTGAACCTGCAATGTGTGAATCATTTTTGTCAGTGTAACCAACAGCTCAAATATAAACCCTAAATATACTGTACTTACACTAACTCTGTACTGCTCTTGGGATAAACAATCAACAACATCAACACATCCAAGGAGACAAGAAGTGGGATATGCATCTGGAAATCCCAAGTCAATTTCTACAGAAAACAGAACATAAGTATAAATATTTATGACATGTTTACAGTCTATATATGCACTAATTTATGTTAACTTATGACTACGGAATGATAAAACCTACTAATAATTAAATAACCTTTTAAATAAATGTTGAGTTGGAACGGTGGTGGTGCCAGCAGTGGAAATTGCCCCACTGTCGTACAGGCCTGGATTTCGTCCAAGGCCACATAATGGTTGTCAGTCCAAAAATATCAATTTGCTATCTAAATAACAATATTTTGATTGTCAATCCTGCAATAGGCCCATACTATTCAACCAAAAAAACTCTACCAATGAACCCTACCTGGGATTTTTATGCCAGGATCCTGGCTGAGGCTCTAGTCTGCCCCTTGGTTTGAATCCCCTGTTGGAGTTACCACTTAGTTGGAGGTTATGGGTTGATTACATAAAGTATCTTTGACATTCGTTGTCTTAATTGCTCTTATTGTTCCGTTTAATGATCTTAGGGAGTGTTTTGTATATCTGGTGTTCATATTGTCATGCGCTTTATTTAAGCATTTGACATCTTTACACTTATTAAGGTTTCTTTGGCAGTGTGATTTTGTCTTCATTTGCAATTGATATCTTAATACTGCCTTCTAATATTCTTGCTGTATTTTAATATCATTGTATACTTGTTTATTTAATTGTAAAATTGCAGCAATTCCAGTTTTTTTACTGCCAACACAAGTTTTTGTTTTGAATGAATGAATTTGTTGCTGATTATCATAATTAACTCAATTGATTAAATGCATTTAGATTCCAAAATTAAGTGAAGACACAACAATTTGGCAAATGGATATATAATACAAATATTTTATAAATAGATAATTGATGTATAACTTTTATAAGACAATATATAAAACATACTCTGAAGATAGTAATACAAGCTGGTGTTGCTATATATACATGTATGTGAAACATTGGTGGTTAAAATATTGTATGTACTCTAATATTTTTCCATGCAAAGTTAAAGCAGTAGCATCCTATGTGTCATTAAACAACACTCCTTAAAGGCCCTGTTGTGCCCACAAATGTAACTGTTACATGCTCTGTTATGATGTACTCATCTTCTAAAGCGGAGAGAGCCCGGTAGCCAGGGGGTGGAGGGGTTGGGGGCGGGGGGGGGGGGGGGGAATGCCCACCTTGCTAAATATTTGGTTTCCTCTGCTAAAATCAAAGATATGTGAATTATTAAAACTAAAAATTATTTTTTATAAGAGCAAAAACAGATATTGAGGGGAAATATTGTGTTTCTCAGTTGGTACTTGCTTTGATGTGAATAGAAGTGGATATTCAGCCCCATAGCCGAAAAAGGGGAGGGGGACAGAGGCCATTTAAATGAATACCTGGGTTCTAGTCAGCCCCCTTGGGGTGACCCCTGTCGGATTTGTCAGACCCCTGTAAGCAAATTTCTGGAACCACCACTGGATGAAATATATTCAGTGAAACAACAATGCAGACAGCACTTGACTTACCTTCATAAAGGTCTTTATAAAATGATTCTAGTTCACAGATTTCCTCTTTTGATGGCATTTTTGCTGTCGCTGCTATCCACAGTCGTCCACGATGAGCGGTGTACCACGTCCTACCTTCATGTCTGCAAAACACATTAATTACACTTTTTCAGAAAAGCTTTGCAGTACTTTGTTGTACTGAAATACTTGAAAATATTGCTATTTTCGAAAGTAGAATGAATAAAAAACTATAGCACTGTACTTTTTAATTCCTTGAACAAAAAGTGAGGCCCATGGTTGATGCATACTGAGGCAGTTGCCCTCATCAGACATCTTCTGCAACTCCACGTCCTGTATACGCTGACCGCTGCGGGTCGATTCAACATTTGACTGGTTTGAGATTGGCTTTGGAGGTTTTACTCTAGTTGACACAAACTATTAAGATAAAATAGAATAGGTAACTACTTAAATACTTTTAAAAAAATAATGTTTTGCCATATCAACCGCGAAGCAACTTTAAAAAATGAGCTTATGCAAAGAATTAAGGAAGAGAAAAAAACAGAGGGAGTTAATGAAATAGGAAAAAGTTTTCCATGATGATAATTAATTTTGGATTAAGGTAAAGGTAGGAAATAACCTGTGACTTGAAGATTTAACTAGATCAAAACAATTAAAATAACAATAAATAACAATATTAAAATTGGGTCTATATGCAAAAAGATGGAACAGAAAAAAAAGCAATAGAACATAACGCTACAGACTAACAAACTAAAACAAAGAAGCACATCAATTAATACAATTTCACACCCACGGGAGTCTACAAAACGTTAGTTTCCATAAAGAACGGTAACATCAACAGATTAATGAGTTGAATGAAATCATTCTTATACCTTAAACACTTCTTCCAATGTACTTCAACCAACTTCTACACCCCCCAACCCCCCCCTCCCCCGGCAATTTTCTAATTCCTAATCCGACATAAAAGCAATTTAGGAAAATTAAATATATAAAACGAAACATACAACAATCTTCAACAAAACACATAAATATATATGAAAGCAGTAATACAGATCTACCAGTACAGTACTGAAATCCCACCCATCCTGAGTGTATACAGACTGTAACTCTTTAAAACCTTTAGTTGTTTTTAAGTTTTGTACGCTTCATTTAGTTGGGCCCATTTTGGCTAAAACTGACGAAAAAGAACCGTTAGTTGGATGGGGCTAAAATTTGAGGTTTTGGCTTTTATAGCTTAAAAAAGGATGTAAATTGCCTTTCTTGGGGGGATTAGAGAATGACCCTGATAGTGATAATGGTGGTGGTGATGATGATGATAGATAAAAATAATATGTTTATTTTCTTTTATTAAACTTTAAAAGAGGGTAGCCCTTGGCAACTTCAAGGGCCATCATAACTGTATTAATTCAGTTTTTTTTTTTTGCACTATTGTCAATACACCTTCAATAAAGAAAGTAAAAAATTAACCAAAATCACCTTCAATGGCAATGGTATAAATATACAAATACTCATCGAATAAAAAATATTTATGTAAATGTGAACAAATCTGTTCAGTATGTAATGTAATTCAGACATATCACAGAACATAAAATAAATAATAAAAGTCATAAATGATAAATATACTGTAAAGAGCGTCAATATCATAGTAGTTAGAATATTCAAATAATATTTGAATCCTAATTACAGAAATTGCCTAAAAGGCAAAAATAAATGAAGTTTCATCTCACCTTGGGTGGTTTTGATGTTATTGTAGGATTTACCAATTCATTCAAGTGAGTTCTATTTTGTGATTCACTTTGAAATTTCTGTAAATCTGTTCCAAAGTTAACTGCTTTTACAATTGCATCGTCCTTATCATACATATTGACGTTCTCTGTTGAATCAACGACTCTACGCCCAGCAAAATCTAAAGTTATCTTTTTGTTTAACCTCGAGCCATGTAGTTGTTCTCGTAGCTCAGTCTCACGTTTTCTCAACAGTTCTCGTTCGTTTTTACTCAGCCATTGATTCGTGTCCGTAGCAAAGTAATCAGACTCATCGTCAATAATTTGTGTTCTCTTGATGCTACAGTGATGAATTTCATTTAGTTATCATTAACAGCAATTATTTGCCTGATGAGTAAACATGTATAGCCTAGACTGACAAAAATTACAAAATGACAATACAAAGTAGTCCAAGTACCATACCTACAGTTCGAGACATACTGTTATCCCACAAGAAGCATGCACTATTTTGTTCAGTACACTTTAATTGTTCTGAATATTTGCCTTCTGTTTTTGTGTAGTCCTACTGTTCTCATACCATTTACCTGTCCTTTACTCTGAGAAATTGCTATACACTGCCCTGACAGTACCAAGAACATATTGTAAGGTTCCAGGCTACTGGTTTATTAGCAAGAAATTTGCCTACAAGAATGCTTTGAAGATCTGTACATGCGACTGTCTTTTCTTTACAGACTCTTATGACACTAAAGCACCGACATAACCTAACTAGTCTTATTTACAAACTTCCATGTTTTATTTCTTATAAATATAACAGATTACTGTACAGCTTTTCAAATGATGAGTGAGATGTATGCATCATAGTTGCCAACCTGAGAGATTTGAAATGTGTGACCACGCCAACTGGCTGTGGCGGGGGATGTGGCGGGGCCCTGGCAGGGCCAAGGAGCGGATCCCTGGTGGGGATCCTAGGGACGGTCTGAGCATTTTAAGCTGTTTGTTGACAATACTGGGTACATAAACAAAAATATTTTTAATAAAGCCATATACAATTGGTATGTTTCATTTGACCACCCAAACTATATACACAAACGATCAAAGCTCTCTATGACTCAAGTTACATGACCATTTTTATACTTTTAATAAAACCAATTTCTTTTAATTTTTAAATATATTTTCCCTTGAATTCGTGACAATTCGTCATGCATAGATCTGTGCTAAATGCTTGACAAATTTATGATCATGCATGTTTCCGCAAAATGCATGTTTCATCAAATAAAAGGTAAACATTTGTTGAAACTGAAAACAGACTCACATTGCAGTATTATTTTTACACCAAACGTGGTACGTGATATTTACAAATATTCTTGCAATTACCTTGTTCTGTCAAACTCTATCAGTCTGTCTTTTGTCTTTATGGCTTTCTCTATGGCTAACTGTTGTTTACAATCAGTACTGTTGTTATAGCTGCTAAGCTGCGTTCCTCCTAATAACTTCTTCCTGAGTTTTTCACTTTTGTTGGAATTTCGTGCTAAAATTTCTTGTTCTTCTCTTGTACAAACCTAAAAGCCAAAAACCAGAATTGTACAAAGAAAGCCAAACACCAGAGACCGGTTTGGCTTGTCTTTGCCGCATAATTTCTATTGTGTCCATCACTTGACCCTACTGCAATTCGCATACCAAAAATTGTGCTGAAAGGCTTCTTACAAAAGGAAGCTCAGTAATGTGTTCAGAAGGGAAGGTCCAACTGTTATAATATGAAGCTCCACTAAAGGCTTGTTTCTACTGACAAGAAAAAAATGTTATGTACTGTTCGTTTTAGGAATGGTTTTTTGTGGCAGTAGGAACAGGGCACAGAATCAATACCGTGCAAGGAACACCAAAGAACTATTCTTCCTACAAAAGAACCATTCTTCATCTGGTAATTTTTAGCTGCAACATAAATACTCGTCAAAAACGGAGCAAGATATTTTTAGTTGCCGATCTGCAATTGTGGGTGGTATGCATGCAACAGTAAAGTACAAGCTCAACAAAATGTTAATACTTACTAAAGTGCCACAAAATAAACAAGGACCCGAGCCCTCCTGGGCACAAACCACTCTACCACATGATAAGCAGTTACTGATCAGGGTGTGTTTCTGTGCTTGACATTCACAAGGATGCCTTCCTGGCAAGTGAATCACATCTTTTGTTTCTCCCTCACTGCTGTAAAGTTGAACAAATTTCTGTTTTTGTTTCTTCCTTGCACCTTGCTTATTGTAGGATTTTAGAACAGAATCACCTTCCTTTGGGGAATAAACAACAAAAAAAATCAAATAAAAAAAATACAAAACTGATATGTATCTATATGTGTGAAAATAAGCACTTTAAGTAGTTTCAGGCTTTTTTTTATATCTATTAACTTTTTATTATCAAGTGTTTTAACATACTAGGCACCTAGGCCTACTAACTATTCCTTAAAAACTACCAAGAATAATCCTTTTCATGACAATGATTTGACATCGGTAAAAGGTTATTTTCGCATTCTGAGCTTTTTCCAAAAAATTATCTGATTCTCATATGAAAATTTATCGGATAATTTGGGACCTGTTTCTGCAGCGAAAAAATTACAAAATGGCCGCTTTCCGATAATTTATCGGATAATAAGTGCTGCGGAAAAACGGGCTAAAATGCAACTCCACTTACACGTAAGCAAGCTTAGCTATTGTAATTTTAATTTCTTTGGTGTGAAGAACACTAAGGATGACCCATGAAAATTCAGATATATTTTCAGTGGGGTCCCTCTACTGGTGAATTGGGCAGTACACCGGGAAACAATCTCCGGCTATTTTCCAAAAAGTGTACTGCTTTCTTTAACAACAAACATGGGTCATATTCCACACAGGGCAAATGATTAAATGTCCCCTTCTGAAAGATAATGTGCTTTTGAAACTTGCATTTCAGCCATTCAGATTAACCAAAAGAGCCGACTGAGCTTCTGTATGTTTTTCAGACTCTCATTTTGCTTCTTGCTTTATGTCTACAAATGATGCCTACGCTGCCTTTTCACCGTCATAGAGCTAGATAAACATAGAAACGAAACAAGCATTTCTGTACTGTGCAGAAGAGTACACAAAAAATGGAATTCAGCTTGTGTGCAACACAATAATGGAAATGCATGCACTGCATGTTTCAGGATAAAAAAATAAAGCAAGATTATGACATCATCATTGACTTATAATACTGCTGGGCAAATCCAAGCAATAGACATCCATTTTTTAAATAACCAAGGCAATTTTGTATTTATCAAATGAAGTTGTCATTGTCAAAATTCGTAAAGATATCAATATTCTTACCATATGCACTGAAACATGCATAATTAATCACCTATAATTATAATTTAATGAAATTTCATTGATGAATGAATAATGAATGGGAAAAAATATCAAATATAGTTACCATTGTGAGTTTACAATTAGGCAGTGAGGAAGAATTAAATTTGCACTATAGCTTTGTTATGCTTCGTCAGTCTTTAATTTATAATCAAATAATATGTCAAAGACATTCATGGAGCTGCATCTTAACAAATGCTAATCAATGTTGTAATGCATAAAATTCATGTTATTGTTATGATCAGTGAAACTTAACATAATGATGGAGGGTGAAGGTGAAGTGGGGAGGGGCTAGATGATTAAGTGAGGTGCAGGTCTACTACTCAAGGTCACAAAATAATGTGATGTTTAACTACTTGAGCACGATTTTTGGCTTTGGACATTTTCAATGGGAGGAGGAGACTGGGGTGAGCATTTTTTGGTGCGTACACAGGTGCGCACCCCTAGATACGCCACTGGTTATCGATAACATTTAGGTCATCAACTTTTTTTTACAATTTGTTTTACATCCACCTACCTGCCTTTCTACCTGATCATTCTTCTCCTTATGACCTGTATTACTATTACTGCCAGAAACAAAATCATTTTCTTTGGCTGGTTTTCTATATACTGTTGTATGCTCTGGGATGTCTGAGTTTGAAGGTTTAGGGTGTTCAATTTTTGAATTTAATGTCTGTGCATCAATGCTATCATCTAAATTTTTCAATTTCTTCCACCGTCGTAGAAGTTCCCTGATGAAAGTTTTGTGCTTTGGGTTGGAGGTGTCTAGTAGGTCATGTAAGTAATCTTCGAGGTCCATCCCACTTTCCATTGAAAGAAGGTACCTACAGATAGAAAATGAAAAGAATTAAATATATATGAACCATGGATTGGAGTTGAATGGCTTGATAGTTAAATGATTGATTTTAAATCCCAGGGTACTAGGAACTCAGTTGCTGTCAATGTATACAGAACTGTTTTTCATGACCTAAAACAACTCCACTCCCTGCGTCATAATGAGACTGAGTTTATGGTAGACCATCTTGTATGTATGTTTGTCTTGTGAAAGGAACTGCCAATAGGACAAACATTATAGAATAGGCGATGTTCTTTTGACAAAGAGTACAAAAATAACTATTTTAGACATAGACAATGTTTCAGCCTTTTTAACTTTTAAAATTCCATCATAACTCTATACTCAATCAGGTAAGAATGAATTAAAAGAATACAGCGCAGAGTCATGAGGGGAGTTTCGAAAGTTAAGACAGGTAAAATGCCGGGTACACCTACACATACATGACTCAACGTCTTTGAGTGACAAGAGAATATTTTTCCTTTACTTCATATTATATTTAAATGTTTATCTGTTATACTGATTGCAATGTTGTTATGAATCATCTCTAATTCTCGACATACTGATTATTATTCTTTTAAGCACCCTGTATATCAGTGGCATAGTAGAGGGGATAGTCTAGTGTTTTTCTGCAGTAGATCTGAATACTATTACCCCAATTAAAAGGTTTACTTCACACAATATACATACTGGACAACATCTTGAGGTGAATCTAGATGGAGAATATCAATAAGCTGGTGACAACACCATTGGTACAAGGCTTCTTGGTTGTTACTCATCATAAAGCAGCATTGATTGATGACAGATGGCAACTACTGTACCTAGCAAAAATATGAAAAAAATACATATCAGTTAGAAATTAAGTATAACTTAATTAAACTAGGTAGCAATCTCAATCATGACTCTGTTAAATCTACCATACTGTAGGCGTAATTAGTTATATGAAGGCCTTTTATACAAATTCAAACATTTCCGTACCAGATTTCTTTAAAAACATTTTCTGTTTTTGCATTTAATATTTTTATGGTATTTCATACAAAGCAAAACAAATAAATTTATCCATTTTTAATAAAGAATCCCAAAATTAACATAAAATGTTTTTATGTTCCCAGGAAGCTAGGCTTCCCCGACAGGGGAAAGGGGTATAGACTTCCCTTTTCGGGTAGCTTGTCTCAGGGAATCTCGTGCCACCCCTAATGTTTAGACCTATGGGCAGACATACATGGTTAGGATGACACTTTATGAAATTATTCATTGGCAAATTGGTGGATGCTTTCTGTCTTAAACAGCCAGACCTCCACCTAGACCTAGGCCCTAGAAAGAGTTTGATTTTCACATCAACCATTTTGGATTTTGAAGTGATTCTGGTCGACTGTGCGACATGTGCTGGGCAAGCCTAAAGTTATCATATTCCACTGCCTTTTTTTTTTTTAGCAGTTTGAGGTGGGCCTAGGCCCTAGCCTAGCTCAACAAGACTAAAATAAGGGCGGCCGCGGCCCCTATTAAATATAGTATAGGTAGGCCTAGTCTACGTACTATAATAATAGCGTGTGACTTGATAATAACACACATAAAAGCTAAGCACCTCTTCTTCGTCGCTTGATATAGGCCTACAGTAGGCCTCTGTCTAGTCTGTACTCAACTCAAAGAATATCTATTCTTTGCTGTCTCTACACATACTGTATTGCACCATATAATATAAACAGAAATACATGACCCCAAGTGACCCCGTACGAATATAGAGGGCTCACTTAATTAATCTAAGATTAAAGATGTACTATCATACGTATTTCTCGGTCATGACGTACTGTAAAACAATTGAAAATGTCAAATTCACTTTTGAATTGCTTAATTTGTATAGTTAAGTAAATCTTGAACACAAAATTTAAAATTTGAATGAACAAAAAATTCGGACATGACACGTTGTTGTTTGTTGTTATTTGCGACGTCATCAATGAGTACAATACATTCATTATCGTATTATTAAACTGCCTCAAAGAATCTCCAGGTTTGGTATTCATTAGCCACCATCAACTAAACTGCCTTAAAAAAATGGTTCGTGTGGGAATCGAACAAACAACCTCTATGTTTGCTATTCATTATCCACCATCAACTAAACTGCCTTAAAAAAAAAAAAAAAAAAAAAAAAAACTGGCTCGTGGGGGAATCGAACCCACGACCCTAAAAAAAATTATAAAAACTATTAAAAAAAACTTGCCCCGTGTGGGAATCTAACCCACGATCGCTGAGTTTACTACTCCTGATCCAGCATGACTAAACGGAGGGAGGTAAACCGCGGCCCCTAAGCCATCAATGCGATAAACCTAGTACCACACCAAGTACCAGTTAGTCAATTCTGATCGTACTAGAAAAAATTCTTTGTACAGGGGCGGATTTAGGGGGGGGGGGGCCGGCCCGGCCCCGGCCCCCCCCCCCCCTTTGGGGGGGGAAAAAAAGAAAAGAAAAAGAAAAAAAAAGGAGGGAAGAAAAAAAAAGA